CACTGTGTTTCAAAACAATGAAGAAGCAAAAGACCCAAATTTTGAAACAGAATTGTCTCTCACCCTAACACCGTCCCGTTATTTATTTAAAAAACAAAACATCGCGTCGTTTTTCAGTAGTTAGAAACAGTAGGTTGTTTAAAATCATACAGGCCCATTAATATCAAAACAGGCCCAGTATTAATCTTTCACACTTACCTTTCTTCTTTCTCAATAAACATATCTCTCACTCTCCCGCCGGCGTCAGCTATTACCACCGTTTCCCGGAGAAGAACTCTCTGGAGTCTCCACGTGTCTTTGTTCCGACTACGAGCTTCACTCTTCGTGATCTCTGTCTAATTTCATCTTAATATTGGGTTTAGCTCTCTCTATTTGATTGGGTTTTTCCGGAGGCAAAAATGGGTGAAGAAGCTCGAGTATCAGATATGGAAACCAGCGAAGAGAACACGACGAGGAGAAACCATCTCGTACATGACTTGATGGTGGATTTATACCCGCTTAGTAGCTACTACTTCGGTTCAAGAGACGCTATTCGTGTGAAGGACGAGATTATCTCTGATCGAGTCGTCAGATTGAAATCGAAGTAATTCCAAAGTTTTCTTCGTTTTTTTCTTGCGAGTTTGAATCATCTGGGTTTTTCTTATTGTGCTAAACTTTTCCTTCTTGAAGTTACGCTGTTCATGGATTGAGGACTTGTGTTGAAGCTGTTCTTCTGGTAATTTTTATGGTTGAAAGCAAAATTAGGGATTTTTGAAAAATTTTACAGAGAAAATTGGTTTATATTATAACATCTAATTTTGGGACACATCTCAGGTTGAGTTGTTCAAGCATCCTCATGTTTTGCTTCTTCAATATAGAAACTCCATCTTCAAGCTTCCTGGTGGTCGTTTAAGACCTGGAGAATCAGGTTTCTTTTTCCACCTCTTTATGCATAAATTCTCTGTTCTCAATTCTCAATTGCTAAAATCAGGTTTCTGCTTAAACTTACTAGATATTGAAGGTTTGAAACGCAAACTAGCATCAAAGCTTTCGATTAATGAAAATGTCGTTGTTCCTGGTTTGGAGGTAGGAATCTATGGAACTTTGTCTTTATTGCTTTGTTCTGACTGTTGCTGGCTTAAAGAATGGTCCTCTCTAATTACAATTTTGTTGTATAGGTAGGAGAATGCATTGGGATGTGGTGGAGACCCAATTTTGAGACATTGATGTATCCTTTCCTGCCACCTAATGTGAAACACCCAAAGGTTAGTTTAGTTCCATGGTAATAAAGCTTTTGAAGACTCGTGCATATACTTAAAAGCTCTGTTCTGTACTCATCTTTTGTTAAGGAATGCACAAAGCTTTTTCTTGTGAGACTGTCATTAAATCAACAGTTTGTTGTGCCTAAAAACTTCAAACTCCTCGCTGTTCCGTTGTGCCAAATCCACGAAAACGAAAAGGTATGTAGTATCTTACTCGCATTTCCCTTACCTCGTTGTGGTGAGCCCGGTATCTTTCCTGTATGTGTTATCATCATATAATATGATGTTTCATTCATGCGTTGCAGACTTATGGGCCGATCATATCGGAAATTCCCAAGCTTCTTTCAAAATTCTCCTTCAACATGATGGAAATATGAACAAACCTCGTGATCATTGCCACTAGGAGCTCTTGCTTCGCGATCTCGCAGTTGTGATACAATTATATTGTATGTTTGGTGAAACCTTGTTGTGGAGCCTCTGACTATGTGTAATATAAAGAATGTGGTAAGAGTTTGTCTTGTTATATATGGACAATGTTAAAACAAAGCTTGCTTGTTGCTTTGTTGGTTAGAGAGTATAGATATGATTGTATAAAATGACAATAATGTCGATAGATTTTAGTCGAAAGTCGAAACGATTTGTATTAATGTATTATACATGTATATTTATTTGTATCTTTGATAAATAAATGCATAGGGATAATGTGATGAGGATTTTGTTATATTTAACATGAAATGAAAACATAGATAAATAGAGATGATTTTGTTATACCCCAATGTTATAAAAATCGAACGTTGCTTGTCAAAGAGAACCTAAAGAATGAAAGAATCATGGACAAACTGGTTTGTTTCCGGTTTATAAAGCGTCGAATTTAAATTTGGGTCAAAGTAAACCGGGAAAAAACACAAGTAAATGGAAAGTCATCTAAGTCGCTGGTCAACGTCGTGAGCATGAGGTTTGACTGATATTTTATTGATGGGATTTCTCTTTCTTTATCATTTTTTTGCTGACTAGTAAAATGGTTTTTGTATAAAATGACTGAGTCG